ACTCGGCCGGCCCCAGAGTTTTTATAGGCAACATTTTTGTTCACTAGAAAGGCCGTTTTTTGCTTTTAAAATGACTAAACTTTATTTTAATATAAACACATCTATAGTTTGTTTATATACACAAGTATATATATACATTTCAATTTAAAATAATATATACGTGGCTAATTTTTAATTCTTCATTGCTAACTTTTAATATACCATTTATATGAATACATTAAGCTTCACTTTATCCCTTCACTTGGAATCTATAAGAAAATTCTTTTTTAAATTTATTTTACTTAATACAGTGTAAACTTTTGCAGAAGCTTTTACTTTAGAGATTTTTGTTTTTTGTTTTTTATTGGTTCTGATGTTTTAGTATTTACCTATTCATTCCCAGATTGATCCACCTACAAACAGATGACTGTAAAAATCACCCAGTGGGCTATGAAGTTGAGGCCTCCAGAGGGCCTACCTGAGCAACCCTCTTTTTATGGAGAAGGTTGGGGTTTTTGTCTATGTTCTGGTATTGGTGTTAAGAAAATGTTAAGTAAAATTGTTAAGCTATCAACTGATGCAGTTCATTACTACTGTCTCAGTTTGTAGCCATGGGGCTTGCTGTTTGAATTAAACGTTGCCCAGTTCTGGCCCATAGAATCATACTCATTCCATACTCATATTCCCCTTATAACTGTCATATTTCTTAAACTGATTAATTTTAAATAATACACTGGATAGTAGTAATAGCTATTGGTAGTCTCAATGTGACAGGTGCTGTTCTAGGTACTTTACATGCGTTAACTTATTTAATGCTCACAACCCTATGAGGTAGGTACAGTTATACCCATTTTAAACTGAGGTGTACAGAAGGGTTAAAAAATTGGCCGAGCCTCCTGTACACCTACCTGTGTTATCTACTAATGGTGAGATATTTCAGTTATTTGTAGCATCTCATTCTTCACATTCCCCAGTGTTGGTAGTTTTCTGCTGCTTTAAATTCCTACTGTTGATGAAATAGATCACATTCACCAATCATTTTTTTAATTTAAAGATGCCATTCTCTGAGTTGGGTGAGTCCCACTGAATTTACCATTTTTTTTCCTACAAGAGTGTAGCAATAAGTTCAAAGGATATCATTGGAAAACAATTAAAGATGTTTTCCTTTTAATGTATTAGGGTCATATTATCTGCATAAAACCATTTAGAAATATTTTTCCAAAAAAGATTCACATGTAAGAAATTTTTTTTCTTAATCACTTGCCCACAGATTGAAACTGCTTATCTTTGGGTGTTTTCTCTCTCCCTCCCTCCTTTCTTTCTTTCCTTCCTTCCTTCCTTCCTTCCTTCCTTCCTTCCTTCCTTCGGTCATGCTGTTAATCTATGATAATGGATAAAGGTTTGGCAAACTAGCAGTCAGAAATTACTCAGTGTATATAATTTAACATTGCATGCTTAGACATGAATTTGAATTTAGATAGACTTTATCACAAAATATGAATTTAAAACTGGATTGCTATTTTAATCACTACTATTATTAAATCTAGTGCTGTTAACCATTTATGGCTTATTAGGACTATCTATATACACAACTGTAGAACATTCTCATTGTCTCAATACCAAAGAAAGTACGAGCTGTCAGGTATTGTTCATATCAAGTAGTGTTAATGTACTGTTAATATAATGTTACTTTTCGGTTATATATTTATCACTTTTCTATATAAAATTTAACTTTTGGTAAAATCAGTCTATAATAGATGATACAAGATTAGTCCCGTTATCACTATTTAGCAGATATTATTCTAATAGATTTTATTTAAAAGTTTTGCATAATAAACATATGTTCATAAATTCCTATCTTTGGGTATTAGTCAACCTCATTTAAGACATGTCTTTGGGTATTGTATTTTTATATGATTTTTTTTTTTTAAGCTGAGCCATCCTGCCAACAGCTCAGCTCAGGCCGGGAATCGAACCACTGTTGCTCAGAGCTCACACTGTTGAGCGAGCTCTTAACCAACTGAGCCATTGGGCCGCCCCTATATGATAATTCTTATAGCATTATATATTATTTTTAAAACTTGACTTTTCAAAATATATTTGGTTTAGTGATAGAAGATTAAAACTATGCGTAGTGAAGATAGAATAATTGCTGTATATTTGGAGGAACATATGTATACAAGACTGAAATGAAACTTTTGGCATAATCATATTTGGGAGACTACATAGTTTTTAAGAGTTGTATGTTTGAAGGATGGTTGGCGAAATACTAAGTAGAGAAAGAATGTAGAAAATAAGGAGTTGGCAGCTCAGGACAGGAATATTTGTTATTTAGGAAAAGAAAATGGAGTTAAGAACATCTGTGGAATAGATTTTGAAGCATTTGGAGGCATGCCTATGTGTGCATCTGTATGCTAATATATCTGTGTGACCTAACACAATGAGTGATTGTAGTCTCATTGTATTATACATACCTGTTCTTTGTTTCCTATTGGACAACACTTAGTGCTTCTTGACTTCTATATATTTCTGCTTTAATATATCCTCCCAAATGACTTAGACCCTGCTGGCCTTATGTCTCTATTTCTGTTTTTCTTTCTGAGATTTTGCCTTTGCAGCACATGGCAGAATTCCATGTGGTCCCAGCCTCACCCCTCCTCACTGATACTTTGCACCTTTGTCACTAACCACCTCAGTGATTATGTTTTTTAAGCCTGAAACACCTTCCTGTTCAAATGGTGATGGTGACTCTGCTATGAGGATAGAAACTTTTATAGTCAACAATTACTGTATTCTATTCTCATGATAAGGAAACACTCTAGCAACATATTCTCCCATCTTCAGTGCCACCTTTCATCCCCAGGAAACAAGCACATTTTGAAAGTAATGTCAAATTTAAGATATATTTTATATTTAAATATAGTCAAATGAATAATGAAGTTACAGTTTCAACCTATTCTGAAATTCACTGTATAAGAAGTTGGAAAATGTCACCTTTGTATAGCATTCCACTTATTATGCTTGGATAATATTATTTAAATAGAAGTATTCCTTTACAATGGAAGTGTGTTGGTGTTCAGAGAAAACATCCCAAATTACAGAGGCCCTGCTTCTCTTAGTTTACAGTATGGAACAAGTGATAACAGGGATATTGAAAACGTGTATACATATGCAAAAATGAAATTTTTTGTTATTAAATGCACATAAGTGATAAACCTTAGCCACAAACAAAAGGCTCTGATGGTTCATGGTTTATCATCCTCCTCGAGATCAGGTAAAAGTATTGGCAGAATTGATATGTTTTTTTTTTCTTAACCATAACAAATCTATTTTGAAAAGACGCATAGTTAATAGAAAGCCAGCAAAGGTAGTAATATATCTAAAATCTATTAATTACATGGATTACCAAACAGATAAGGTGTGGTTTTCAACCAAGGCCACAATCTATACCAGATGTTTTAGGATGAAAATGGTAAAATTAATTAGCAACTTGAGTTAAAATTTTTTGTACCTCATCCTAAATGATAGTGATTGGATACTGAGGATTTTGTTATTTTTATTTGCTAGGGGTAGGGATAGGTGGCTTACTTCGTTTTTTACTAGTCAAGAAATTGAAATAAAATGCCTGGCTAATAGAATTAAAAACAAGCATACCTTTATCATTCTAGCCTGTTAGGTGGGGTTAGAGTGATATTATTAGCATTATTAATAATTATTTGGAATTTGTCTTCCACAAGTAATCAGTTCTTAAGGAAATTCAATAGTTGTCCTTGTATAGTCATGTAGGCTTGCCTCTATTTTGTCTATATTGCTTAACTTCAGGCAGTTCTATTTCACAACAGATTTTTATCATGTACTTACTATATAGTTGGCATCGTCGTATGCCCTTTGGGCTTTGGAAATTGCAAAGATTGGTAGTACATAGTCCCTAGCTCCAGGAATCCTTTGCATGGTTTCTCTGTTCTGCCCTAAAACATTCCCGGAACTAGATTTTTATCATGGGGGCATTTTTATGTGGATGTGTATTGATAACATTTAAACTCCATGAAGCCTAGATTTTGAATTTGTTGCCATCATAGATTTTGTGGGTTTCTTTTTTTTTAATCTGGGTCCAGTGAATCAGGTACCTAGGTGTTCTACAAATACTTGTTGTTTATGGTAATTGAGGTTGATAATCACCTTTGAATGGAGTACAGAATTTTCTTTTTATAAAATTTTATCACAAAATGAATACAATTTAAAGGAGGAGTCGAAATCTTGTAAATCAGTTTTAGTGGTTGCTCATGGCTTATATTTCTATGCTTTTTGAATATTGGAGCATATTACAAGAGTTACATTAAATGTAGGCAAGAAGACACACAAAAATAAGAAAATAATGTATATAAAGCAGTTCTTTGGGTAACTGGTGTTTCACTTATATTTTCTGTCTCAAGTAGCCCAATAGTGCTAATTTAGATGCTACATCTGAATCAGTAAATGTAGAACAAGAAGACTGATTTCTGAAAAATTCTAGGTATTTAAACCCACCAATCCCAACATCTTTTTCTTGAACGTTATTTACCTTAATAGAAATTTAAAATAAAGGTGTTCTTAGCAGGTGATTGTTGAGAAAAAATTTTGAGTAATTATTGAGGAAGGTCATTGAGACAGGTCAGCTAGAGATGGACACACAGCTTGCCTGATAATTGGATGGATGCTACCTGGCTGGAAGATGGAGCTGATTGGTGGATCAAACTCTCAGAGGGAAACCTCACATTTTTAGTTTAAATGTTTATTAAAATTATATTCCATGAAATACTATTGTATGCTATTTAACTATTAAAAAATAAAATGATCACCAGTGATTATTATTAGCTTACCAAAAGGTTGTTTTAAGTGATTTTTGGTATGTGGTACTTAGGAAACTTTTCTATTTGTTTAAAATATGAACTTTATCAGATATCCAGAGTTAGAACACAACATCTCTTACAGTTTCTATTTTATATGTTTATTTGCTGAAGCCTATCTTTGTATTTCTTCAGGTTTATGTGAGATTAAGGCCATTCTTCAGGGAATTCCTGGAACGAATGTCTCAGATGTACGAGGTAAACATGCATAAGCTAATCACATAAGTATTTTTATTTTATTCAACATAGTACCCATATTTAGATCATGTATAATGATTACTTCTTTTCCCCTGAATTTGTAGATCATTCTTTTTACTGCTTCTAAGAAGGTGTATGCAGACAAGTTACTGAACATACTAGACCCTAAAAAGCAACTGGTCAGGTAAATTCAATTAAGAAATAGTGGAAATGTCTGTCACACTGATCTATGGAATTACGATGATTATATTTAATTTCCATGGCCCTTTTCAGTGGGCCACATATATAGAGATCTCTTGGGTTGAATGGTGAAAATAAATGAACTTTTTGAGCCCCAAAACTCTTTAAGAGTTCCTAAGATATAACTCCAGACAGACGTTCTTTAAAGGATACAAAGATCAAATGTATTTATTTATTGTTATAGCTGTATCCTCACCTCTTTTGGGATTGGGTGGGGAGAGTGGGGTATGGGGAATTTTTTACTGTGTGCATGATGTTCTCACTTCCTTATGTATCTGAGATAGTGCATGTTATGTCACCTTTTTAATGGCATAGAGAAATAAATTTTAACAGGATCAAATAAAACTTTTGTTTTTTTCAAGAGCAAATTTATATTCCTTTGAAAGAAATTGTTACATGAATCTAATTGGAAATTGCAGTTGGCTTAGTCACTCAGGCTATCCTGATCTGGACTCAGTTTCTTGTGTGTGTCCTGAGCCAGCAGATGCAGTGTGTTCCTGGTTAGGTGGGGAGTGCCTTGGGTAATTTTAAAACAGCTTGACAATTAGTTCAACGGAGATTGAAACACTGCAGCAGTCTTGCTGCACCCTGTAAGATGTAGGAGTTAATCTTTGAGTTTTTGACCAAGAGCTGAGAGAGATGCCACGTAAGGCTTATTACAGCTTTCATAGCTGAGCATTCATTTTCTTGAATACTTTCTCCCATATTGTCCTGTTGGAAAATCCTAAGCTCAATTTCTACTGTTAATAGTACCTTTATTATTGAGTGATTGCAACTGTGCTGAAAGGCTTTTCCTAATGTTCACATTTAGGAGGCTTTCTTTCTTATAAATAGAACTATGATTTTTTTTTTAATCTAAAGGATTAAATTTGTGCTTGACATTAGTTTCCATTTTATCTTTCATATAAGCAAGTTCTACACATACAAAATAGAAAATGTATTTTCTATTCATAAAAGTATGATTTATTATCATTTTGCCTAACTTTAACAGAAGTATACATGTGATTTTGCTTTGATCACTTCATTCATTCTGAAGATTTTTATTCAGTACCTCCATATTCCAGGGAACAGTGGGGAGCGACACAAGCCCTTCCCTTCCTAGGAGCTTTCATTTTACTGGAGGACAGATTGTAGTCCTGCAATTATATTGTTACAAATTAATACCCTTCTTTTAAACTAGTTTTCTAAAATCTACACATTTGGGAGTTTAAATTTGTTTTGTTGCTTTTTGAAAAAACAGGAAAAACTTCTTGAACAATATATTGAATTCATTAGAGTGCTGTAGGGAATTATTCTGTGTTGGTGACAAGGTAGACTCAGAAATTCCTATGATCACTGAATCCCATGAGTCCAAATGCAAATTTGATGACTAGCAAAAGTAGTTTTTTTCTAAAACTGCAAATACATGCTACTGACCCTCAGATTTCTGAATAACTGGAGAGGTTTTAATGTAATTTAATTAAAGTAGCTGTTGGTATCCACGTAAATATTCACTTGTCTCTGGTCACGGGTGATTTTGCTGCTATAGGGGAAGAAGCATCAATAGTGACTTGCATGTACATGCTGTACCTTCCTCTCAATTTCCTCATATCTAAACATTTATGCAAATAAGAGAATCTTGTTTAGGCCCAACCAGGACCTTATTTCAAAGTAGGACTGTCTGTAAGCCTTTCAGAGATGGATAGTCATTTAAATAATTAAAATTATTCTTTATAATAAGGGGGAAAGAACTATTTAAACTACATTTTCTCTATAAAATTCTTACTCTTTGACATCACCACTGGCACTGATATTGTTAAGGTTGAGTTTTATTGGGATTTTTGCTTTTGTTAGAGCTATGACAGATTTTGTTGGTAGAAAATGTCCCTTTCTTGAAATTCCATGATTAAAAATACAGGTATGAATAGACCCTAGCTCCTGAAAAATTGTTTAGTGGGATTAAGACACAAGGAAGCCAAACTACCACATTATTAATGTATACAAATGGAGTATTTCAAGGTGATCTGTATCAATTACTAGTAATATTCAGAGACTAATATTTTTGAGTGCTAAATGAAGATTATATAATTATTACAGTATATAAGTATTGTTATAAAACCTTTAATAGCTTTTTTAAATGATACAGAATTTTTCACTTTACTATCTATCATTGGTGAAACATCAGTTTACATTGGTTATATTTAAATCTGAATTCATCATTTCATTTAGTCCTTGTTTTTTCAAGTGATCTCTCACACACACACACACACACACACACACACACACACACACACACTATATTAAAAGAAAGATGGGTGTTTGGAAAAAGTCGAAATGATGGAATATTTTGGCCTCCACACCTTTTCTCAGAAACTGTAAGGGAAACTAAAAACATTTTTTAAATGCCGACACAGAAACATTCCTTCTTATATTTTCTATTCTGGCATGTACAGGGATAGGGAGGCTGTGTGGTCTTCTGGTTAGAGCAAAGGACTGGGAGCCAGGACGATCCTGGGTTCCAATGCGGGGCTAACCACTGACTTACTGTGTGACCTTGGGCAAGTCACTTGACCTTGTGCCTCAGTCAACCATCTGGAAAATTGGTTAAAAAGCAGGACCTCGCTGACAACCAGATGCTGCATCTGAACTGAGCTTTCCTGGGTAAATAAATTACAAAAACAATTTACAGCGTTTTTAATCCCTCTTTATAATTTAATATAATATTTTGGGATAAACCAAAGTTCTTTAAGGCATGGTAATATTTGGTTGTAAGGTTTCAATAATTGCTAAAAATTTTAATAGTAAAACTGTAGCCCAAAGCTTAGGCCCACATTTGTATTTTAATTTCTTTTGTGAGACAAGACTAATAAGGCTTAACCCCTAAAGCCTGTGGTATGTGTATGTACATATGTTTTAGTATATGTTGTACTTTTTAGAGGTTTTTTTTTTTTCTTTTTTTGGTTAATTTGTTTTTATTTTTATGTTTAGGCACCGACTTTTTCGTGAACATTGTGTTTGTGTACAAGGAAACTATATAAAGGACTTAAATATCCTTGGAAGAGATCTTTCAAAAACTATAATAATTGACAACTCACCACAAGCCTTTGCATATCAGGTAGGAAGAGGGGAAGAAAAACACAATAAGGAAAAATGCTGCCAAACACAAGACGATGGGAGAACAGAATTTTCACTGGTGTAATTTCCATTTAGTGTCACCTTTAGAATTAGAAATGCCAAAGTGGTATATTCCTTGTGGAAAAGATTCTTTTAAATGAATTACAGCATAAGTAAAGGAAAATCTGAGTAGTAAGTCTAAAATAAGAAGGGACCATAAGATAGATATACATCATTTAATAGCATTCTTATCAGTTGTTAAATCAGTAATTTAATTGTAAACATGTAAGAATTACAAATAGCTTAACCATGTTCTTCTGGCCTGTTTGATTTCACATTCTTCACTATTTTCTTAGACTGTTTTGTCAATATATTTGTACCCTTTGTCAAACATTCTTGGAAATATAACTTTTGACTAGCGATCCTTGCAAGATACATTCTTACATTATGAACATGTTCATGTGATATGTCTGGGGTTTCCTTCACAATAAATTGGTGCAGAATGGGGATGATGGAAATTGGGTTGGATATAGATGAAATTAGGTTTGCCCTTAACTTCTGTGTTTCAGAATGTCCATGATAAAAAAAGGAGGTGGGGGGATTGCATATACTATTGAAATATGTTCAATTTAGGGCACTACTTTTAATTACTTGTTTGCACTTTGAAATATGTTAAGGATTTCTTCTTGGTTCCTAGATCAAATCATTTCAGTGCCCTCCATCTCAAACACAATGTTCTGTGTAAATGTTTAGAGAAAGATATTTTATCCTAGATATTATTTACTATAAAAAATACAATTTGCATATTCTTGTTTTTAGACTCTTCAGTGAAATAGCATTGAGTCAATTTGTTATGTTCCTACTATGTTTCAGAGTGTCCTGCTATTTGTTGAGAATACAAGAATGAATGGGACAGTCCCTTGTGTAAAAGTATATGCTTCTGATAGCAGTCCCTGTTGCCAATCTATTGACGATACCCCTTCATTCACAATGCCTAGCATTGACTAATAGTAACTATTTTTTGAATGAATAAAGGAATCTTTTTATGTTAATGCAAAACTTGTTTTAATGGATCTTTTTGTTGTTTAGTTTTATATACACTAAGAAGAAATTATGTTGAAAACCCAATTAGGCTTCGATTTCTTTTTTAAGCTTTTCCAAAGTAGGCAAAATGTAGGCAAAAAAAAAAAAGGATTTAATTACTTATTTATCATTTTAGCTATCTAATGGAATCCCTATAGAAAGCTGGTTTATGGATAAAAATGACAATGAACTCCTAAAATTGATTCCATTTCTGGAGAAGCTTGTAGAACTGGTAAGTATATCTTATCTTTTTCTCTTTTTATTGCCTCATCTTTATTGAAGTAAATCTTTTAAATTGCTTTACTTTATGTATACTGACTTTTTAAAGTCAACATAGTGGGAGATTAGGGCAAATATTGAAAAGGATTACAAGCATTTTCAAATCTTACAAATTATATTAAAATACTTATCAGAATTTAAACATTTAGACTGAATGTTTTTATTTCACTGGGCTTCATTTTGCTTTCATAGTTCAGGTCTAGAATTACTGCTTATGCTACTGAAACTTTATTCTGGGAATTGTTTTCCTATATCAATGGATTAATTTTAAAACTAATGTATAAAGTAGAATTGAGTGGCTTAACACTAGCTTTTGGTTTGGCCTCTTATTAATTGTTCTTACAAAATTAAAACTTTAATGATAATTTTTCTTAACTCTAAATTTAATTCAAATTAACTGCTTCTGTGTAGCACATTTATGTTTGGCAAACAAAATAATTAAGTTGTAAAATAAACAAGTGATGCATTTTTCTGCAAAGTAATTGTTCATAATGGTCTGAGGATCATATCTTTGAAATCACGTGGCTTTTAAAATGTCTTTTTCTCCACACAGAATGAAGATGTACGACCTCACATCAGAGACAGATTTCGCTTGCATGATTTGCTGCCCCCAGATTAAGTACAGACTTGTCAAACCACTGAAGGGGGAGAGAATGCAGGACCCTTTTGGACTAAGACAAAACATTGCCATTACTGTTGAAATTTTGCATTTTTGTACCCCGTCTTGCTTTTCTTATCTTTGGTGCCCAATAATAATCAAGGGTTACAGAAAGAGACTTTATCTCAGATTGAATACATACAGTAGGTAGGCTAAAACAGAAGAGTCTTTAGAACTAGTGCAACTTCAGTGAAAATTTTTTATGTACAGGACATCTGCAGTTTATAAAGAATTCTGTTTCTGCCACCAGCAGTTTGACCTGTAGTCACAGGATTTTATGATAATAACAGAGATGAAAATGGACTTTTATTTTCTCTCTGTTTGGTGCTCTAAGTGGGTTTGTAGCCACTTTTCTGTTACTTTAAGATTCTCATTTCAACAGGAATGGCCAGTAAAAGTTGTTTTATTTTTCCTGTTAAGGTTTATAACCTTTTTACATTTTTGACCTGTATTAGATTAGAATTTCATTATGCATTCCTTTTAGTTGAGGCGCTTCATAGTTTTCTGGAAATAGTCAATTTTTAGTTTTTTATTATACATTTGAATGGCCGTTTTCCTGCTTTGTCTGCCTGCATATTGTATATTTGTTTAAAAATATTCTCTACTTTTAGTCCATGTAAGTTGCATTTAGAAAGACATGCATTTATATTTTGTTTCTGTAATATTCTACTGTAGGTGAAATCTTTTCAAAAATCAAGAGACTGGGTAGATAAGAATATATGAATGACTAATATTCAAAAGATTTAAACCATTGTGATGGCATGTGTTCCCAAATGGTAATATCTAGCAATGGCACACAGATTTAATGGATAAAGGTATACCTCAGACTTCACTGTGCTCACCAATCTTTGAGGAGAATGAGTTTAGTCACCTGTTGGGCTTGATTTGGTTACTGCTGCCTTTGGTTTCCTCTGGGAGTGAAGTATTCAGCACAGTGACTCAGTATTTTTAGTTATTTTGCATGGGCTGGTAGTACCTCTGTTATGCTCTCAGTTACAATCAATTTAAAGCTCTGTGTAACAGTCTTGGTACCTTACAGTAGCTATGCATAATCTGTGGCACAGTAAACTCCCAAGCCACCAATGCAGTTAATATGCTCTCATAGTGGTTTTCTATGCTATATGAAAATAGTCTTCAAGCCTTGGTTCTCTAATGCAGCTACCACAAGAGGTTGATATTTTTATAGTGGTGTGTAATCTCCTTTTCGGGAGGCTTTTTATGGAAGGTAGAATTTGTAAAAGTTAGTATGCTTTGCCTCTCGACTGCATTAACATGCCACAGGCTCAGACTGTTTTTGTGTAAAGGATGTCAAAGAACGGCACTTTTTCTAAAGAGAAGTTTGATATTTTGTATGCTTGTTAAGAAAGTACAGTATTGGAAATTAAAGGTGGACAACTGATAATTGAGGAGTATGTCACTTAATTTTTTATGTATATTACCTGTTTACTTGTACAACTTATTGTACAAATTACATGCAGCTTCATTTTCAAATGAATCCTTAAAATAAGGAAATCTTTTTAGGAAAACATTTAATTTTTGTATTTTTGATTTTAAAGGCATGAGTTATGTCAATTTTCAGTGTATTAATGAAGATTTTAACTTTTCATCAGGTTGAGTGTTTTCTTACTATATTATCTGTTGTATATGTAGTTAGCATATTGTGTCACTGAACTGTTTAAAAATCTAGCATGTAGAGCAAGCCTGTTTTGTGGAAAATCCTTATTCATTAAAAAAAATAATCATGGCAGGTTTTCTGCAAAAAAAAAAAAAAAAGCAGAAGCATTTGCAATTCAGAATACTGGTTTTTTTTGTTTTGTTTTAATTTAAAGAAAGGTATTTTGCTTGCAGGAAAAAATACTACAGATTCATTTTAATGAGAATCTTCGAAATGTATTTATCTTTAGGGCATCTGGGCATCTTTATGCTGTTTGTCTTCTGTCTTTCTTGAAATAAAATGTACATACGTTACCTTTACATATGCTCTTGCTCAAAATTGTGAACCTAGTTACACTTCTCCTTGCTCCCTTTTTATGCTCAGACAGCAAAACCCAAAACCTATACAAGATCTAAACTTTCAGCATGCATTGTAATTGCTGAAAGCTTTTCTGATTAAGTAAAAAGAGTCTTAAAGGGCTTTCCCATAACTTAAAGGGAAATGTAAACACCTGTACCATTGTGCCTGTGGGCACTTTAAATAAACACCAACTTTTAATCATCTTTCATTTAGTTGTAAAGCTGTTTTCAGTCCCATGCTAGGGAGAATTCCCTAAAGTCAACTGACAAATGAATCAAGCATAACAAAATTCTGTAAAGAAGTAAACTAAGGGAAATTTTGTATGGCCTGAGAAAATTTCTTGAGAACAATTTAATATATTTTTCTTCATTACTTGACTTGAGTCATTTTAAATTTAATACAAAATTTAAAATAATTTATAAAAAGACAACTATCCAGTTTTCTTCCACCTTAATATAATGTTTTATCTTCTCATTAGCCCTTCTTTCTCTGTAGATGTTATCTTAGACACTTCCATTTAGTTAAGCGGAGGTGTGTATTTTATGAACTGAGATGTGCCCAGCCCCTTCAGATCACGCAGGAAACATGAACTCTTAAAAACTGACTGTAGTAAATGCAGGAGAGATGGATACCTGATAAGACACAGCAAAAGTGACCTGTATACACATTACAACTCTGAAGTACATCATTGTGATATTTCCAGTGATAAGTGTCTGACTTTTAAGACATTCTTTTAAATATTTGTATTGTTAGAATGTTTTAATCAGTTGTGTTTTTTAATTACATGTAATATATGTAGCCCTAATCAGATTTATATCACCAAATTTCTCCTTGGGTCTTAAAAGAATTGATAACAATTTGAAACTAGAAATTGTTTTATATTGGCTAGTATGTATATTTATTTACCCGATGGCTTTATCTTGTTTCCCAAAATTTGGGGGGAATTTGTTGAAAGCATTGTAACTTCTATAAATGGCTATTTTCTTATAACTGTCAGTGAAAATGTATGTACATTTTTTTAAAATATTTTTCTGGTTTGTTTGTTTTTTGTTTTTTAGGGTTAAACACAGAATGGTTTTTTAAAAAGTTCTCTTTGGCCAATGACTTTTTCAGCTAGATATTACTTTCATTCAGCCTTCTAAAGTTCGTTTTTCATTGTTTTGTTCAGTCAACTTACCTGTAAAACAGAAACTTCCATCTCATCAATGAAGAAAGCATTTCATTATTCCTACAAATCTTTACAGCGAGCACAGAATTCTTCATAAGGACCAGATCTCTTCCACGTCTTGTGTCAATCACATAAAGCTGTAACATAAAGGACACTGAAGCCTTCATTTAATTGTACTAACAAGATGGTGTTATATAACACATCATTAGCTAGTTAAGGTTTTCTGACCTGATTTCCTTGTCTTCCTAGGTATTTATTTGTTATCTCTTTTAATCTTGTGTATCTAAAATTAACTTAGTTAATAGTTACCCACTGAATAACTATGCCAAGCAACTAGGAAAGAATGTTTATTTTATTTCCCCTTATAGGGGAAGAGTGGACTGGGAACAAAAATGTATGGGCCATAAGGCCTTAGGTTGTCATTCATTCACTTTCTTATTCCTCTCATGACCTATATTTGAGTATAGTATTTTTTCAGTGCTGATGTGCTTGATTATGCCATTACTTTTCATGTCTTCCCGAGTTGAAAGCCTGCTAGGAACCTGTATAAAATACATTTTAAATGTTCAGAAATAAGAACCACAAAATTCAGTATCTTATATTTAAATGCTACTTAAATTATTGGAATCCAAGTCTCACTCACTAGGATACATTTTTATAAAATGTTTCTCTGTATCTTGAAATGACTTGCCCAAAGGCAAGAGTTCTAGGGGATATAATGTGCTTTGAGAAATTTTTAAAAGGGGGATAAGAGAGCAACAAGTTTATACTTAGTTACTTTATGGTTTTGATATTAGTATTTTAAAATAGTGGTTCCCAAACCTGGCTGTTCCTTACAATTACTCTGAGCTTTTCAAATACAGATTTCTGAGGCCTAGCCCCTGCTAAATTCTCTCATTGGGTGTAGAGTAGGACCTGAAAGTCTGTGTTTTTTAAAAGCGCTCTCCAAGTGATTCTAATAGCCAAGTTTAGGAAATCACTATTTTAAATGTGACAGTGGTTAGAGAGTAGGCAACAAAATAAAAGTTTACTAGACATCTCTTTGTGGTAGAGTTTTCTTTTTTTAAACTGGGACCAGATTTTACAGAACTTATTCAAGATACATGGAGGAATAATAAAGAAGATTGAGGCTACTGCTCATTATCTTTCTTTCATACTTTTAAGAGTTTGCATTTCTAGCACTTGGAATAGTTGATTATATACACAGCTGAAGGACATATCCCTGAATGAGACCATTATATATATTAACTGTAAAATATTTCACTATTTTTTTATTTTATAAATCTTTGTAGAAATAAGCAATGAAATACTACTTTCATCTTTTGAAATGGGATTTTTCAAGGCAGTGTCCTTTTGGCGTTAAGGTAGGGGGGAGTTAATATTCTCTCTGCCTTTTTCCATGTGAATCAATATGAAGTCATGGACATTTAAAAATCTCAATTTAATTTCTACATATTTACTATGCAGTATAGCCATGAACAAGTAATGTAGATTTAGTTTTCTCATCTTCAAATGCCCTGATCATCCTACCTCACAGGGTTGTTGTGAGGATAAATAAAATTTTTATGGAAGCGCTTTTCTTTGATGATATTTTATCAGCCATTAGAAACAATGTAATACCTAACATATAGTACTCTTTGTTTACAAGTACACAATTTTTTACATTACTGTCCCTTTAGATGATCTTCAGACAGACCTGTAAGAAACAGAGTGGGTTACAGATAAGGAAATAGGCTCAGAGAGGACTAGAACCCAAGACCTCACAGCTATTCTGGGAGACTTGAATTCAAGTATCACTACAACATGCTATTTCCCAAGGCCTTGGCATTCTTATAGAAGCATGTTTGTATAAAAATACAAAGCTTTCTCAAGTTCATAAATCAATTTAGCCAACAAAGTGTTCTTATAAAGGAATATACCATATTTCCCCATGTATAAGACGCACCTTAATTTTGGGGCCCGAAATTTGAAAAAAATATTAAAGTTATTGAAAAGTTTTTTGTTTTTGTTTTTTTAAAGATTTTTATTGGAGAATTGGGGGATAGGAACAGACAAGTTGCTGTCATTTTGTTCTTCAGTCTAGTCGTGGAAGACGTTGCTTCACTGGCCCAAGTTGGCACCATCATTGTGCTCTTCCCAGGTGAGGCAGATCAGTCGCCGGCTTCTGGACGGCCACTCAGTGTGGCTGCTGGCCGCTCACGCAGGCTGCTGGCTACATGCAGTAGCCCATGGCAACCCACTGCCACAGGGGCTGCNCGTCGACTCACAGGCAGACCAGCTCCAGGTTGAGCTGTTGTTCAGCATCTTAGCTGTGGAGGGCAGTGTCACTGGCCCTCATATGTGGGGTCCAAACCGGGGCCCTCTGGCGTCCCAAGCCAGTTCTTAACCATTGCGCCACTCGGCCGGCCCTGAACTCAAGTTTTATTCTTCATAAAATTCATGCAACTCCTCATCACTTGCGGGAAATGCAAGTTTAAAAAATCTACAACCACTGTATAAGACGCACCCAGTTTTTAGACCCCAAGTTTCTTTAAAAAGGGTGTGTCTTATACACGGGGAAATACGTAATAACCCAGGTTATAAGCCTGTGGTACAAACTAGGTGCTAGGGTTTAACCATCCAACTTTTTAAAACAAGAAACCCCAACTTCCAAGTATGCCTCTCTGTTACAGATTAGGAAATGTGTCTAGAAAAATGTCTTCCCAAAATCACAGGTGGGATTAGAATATAGGTCTCTTACTCAAATGGAATGATTTTAGGAGGAATGACATTCTTGATTTCCATTTAAAATGTTTTAAATGGAAAACATTTAAAACCTGGATATAGAGGGGTTAGTTTTAAAAAGCAGAGATAAGATGGCAAAAAAACATTATGGGGAGCTAAATTGAGAAATTAATAATGTAATGATGAACCAATTAATTACAAAATAACACTGGTCTTACCCCCAATCTGTGATGACATTTTTCTCCAGCTTTATTGAGTAAAATTGACATAACATTGTGTAAGTCTAAGGTATACAATGTGATGATTTGATGTAGATATATTGTGAAATGTTTACCACAGTAAGCTTAAACACATTCTTCACCTCGTGTAATTACCATTTTTTGTTATGGTGAGAACATTTTATATCTCTAATAGCAACTTTCAAGTATACAATACAGAATTCGGGGGGGGGTTTAGATTTTGTTTTTTAATTGGGGAATTGCGGGAGGGGAACAGACAAGTTGCTGTCCTTTTGTTCTTCAGTCTAGTTGTGGAGGACGCCGCTTCACTGGCCCATGTTGGTATTATCATTGCGCTCTTCCCGGGTAAGGCAGTCGCTCACCGGCCATTGGATGGCGGCTCACAGCAGCTCACGAAAGCTCACGCCCGCTACCAGCCAGCCCCACTGCAGCCCACGCCGTTGCTGGCGACTTACGGCAGCCCAGCTCCAGGTCGAGCTGTTGTTCACCATCTGAGCTGTAGAGGGTGCAGCGTCACTGGTCCTCATATGGGATCTGAACCAGGGCCCTGCTGCTCAGAGCTGGCGTCCCAAGCCAGCTCCTAACCAACGTGCCACTCGGTTGTCCCCAATACAGAATTGTTAACTGCTGTACATTAGACCCCCAGAACATTAAATCCTTATACAACTGAAAGTCATATATATATATATATATTTTTTTAATTGAACTGTTTTTCCAGGAACCATCAGCTCCAAGTCCAGTAGTTGTTTTAATCTATTGGAGGGCACAGCTCAGTGGCCCATGTGAGAATTGAACTGGCAACCTTGGTGGTATGAGCACTGTGCTCTAACCAACTGAGCTAACTGGTCGCCCCACTGAAAGTCTTTAACATTTCACCATCTCATCATTTCCCCCACCCCTCAGCCCCTGGCTGTGATGAGACTAAAACTTCTTTTCCTTAAGCTCCAAAGGAGTTTTAATTCAGACAGGTTTGGGAGTCACTGCAGTAGGCCTTTAAAAATGACTGGGTTTCAGACAAACAGTTGACTAGAGAGTATGGTTAAAGGGAGCATAAAGTTGAGTCAACAGACCTGAATTCAAGGCCTTAACTCATCTTACAAGACAAAGCAGCTGAGCCTGTTCATCTGTAAAAAGGGTGAAGCAAGACGTACCTTTCAGAATTACAAAGCTGCAACGTCTGTAAAGCAATATACAAATAGTTATCAGAATGGAAGTGAAGCAACTAGTTCTCTTGAGTGTATGTGAAAGACAGAGTTTTGGGAGATGTCTGAAGCTAGAAGGGGGCAGGAATGGGCAGTAGAATAAGTATTACCACAGATGTTAGGGAGAGTTCAAGAAAGACATGAGCAGTAGGGTGCATTCAGATTAAGACGAAGGGATAATGGAGGCCCCCTATGACTTTTAACATGTTTTGATGAAAATATGCTGCGTGTTAAGGAATAAATGGGTGAAGAAATTGAAGAGGATTGAATGGCTTGAGAAGTCCAGTAAATAATGTAGCAAGCTCGTGATTTGCCAAGTTAGAAGTCTTAGTAAAGGATGAACCAAATGATCTAGAGCTTTAGTGGCTACCATATAATGAGCTTTAATATATTTGATGCATGACAATATTTGTTGAAGGTAGCTGTAAAGTAGCCTTCCTAATGACAGTAAAAGTCATTTTATAACACTGCCTTACTATGTGCTTGACACTGCACATAGCAGAAGAAAGCAAACCTGACACTGCCCTCAAGCTTACAGTCTAGCAGTGGAGACAGTAATGGGAAAGGAATCATGAAAGAAAAGTGGCTTTGAGGGAGCTAACACAATCTAGAAGTCAGGCTTGTGTTGGCTGAAGTATTGTTTAATATGAGATCTGTAGACTTGAAAGAATGTATAGCCAGGTTGGTTTGGGGGGCAAGAGGTAAAATCAAGCGAGTAAATGACCATATTTATCTTAGAAAGGCCCACTTTGGAAGCTGCATAGGCAAGAATAAAGAGTTGGCGCATGGGAGACCAGTTAGAAGAGTTCTATAGAAGTTGACCTAATTCTCCACACAATGTATTTCTCCAAGACAATAAATGGTTAACGCACTGGGTGCTAGAATCAAAGTGGACAATCTGAGGTCAGGAGATTGGTAAAGTCCTAAGGAGACCACAGCTTGTCTGGTTTACTGACAGGAATAGGAAGGTACGTTAGGATTTTATGACACTATAAAAGTAAGTATGGAAGAATAGGAGTTGAATGACGACAGA